CTCGGTCCTAATCCAGCAACCTCGCAAAAACAAATAAAAACCTTGCGCACGCTCCTACATGCACAACCAACACCTCTACAACATATACCACGCAACCACAACCTGCCCACGCATCCTCACTACCTGCTTCACGCACCATCAAACGCACAAGTCGACCAAAATGGACCCATTTCTTATTAGACTCCCTCGTCGTCTTGTGGGCTCTGCCGACACTTTTTACGACCGCAATGCCGTCACTCACACCATAGGCTTCCCGTAACGTCTCTTGGACGGCGGCGGTCGGGGTCCCACGTCTGCCATTGCAAACCGAAAGTAGGGTTGATCTGTCTACTTCAATGACGACTGGCGTCGCTAGCACTGGTGGTATGTCGCTGTAGTAACCAAGTGCGTATCCAGCAGTGTGCAAGTCACACAGGAATGTTGAGCGGTCCGAGCCACGGACAGCAACGCTTTCGCGTCGGTCGGCAAGCAAGACCAATGGCGAAGCAGTCTGGCCATGAGCACATTCTTCGGCTGGCGTGTCTATGAAAGGCATACACTGAAAGAGGCATGGCAGCATGACCACGGAGACGCCAACAGAGCCAAAAGAGAAGGCAACAGAACGAGAGCCGAAGGTGCGTGCGGCATGATAAAGTCCGAGTGGCCGGAATTGAACCAGCGACCAATTGATTTCCGAGAATACTGAAACACAGTATAGAACACTACAGTCAATCGCTCTACCAACTGAGCTACACTCGGTCCTAATCCAACAACCACGCAAAAACAAATAAAGACCTTGCGCACGCTCCCACATGCACAACCAACACCTCTACAACATATACCACGCAACCACATCCTGCCCACGCATCCTCACTACCTGCTTCACGCACCATCAAACGCACAGGTGCTCGCAGACGACCAAAATGGACCCATTTCCTATTAGACCTCCCTCGTCGTCTTGTGGGCTCTGCCGACACTTTATACGACCGCAATGCCGTCACTCACACCATAGGCTTCCCGTAACGTCTCTTGGACGGCGGCGGTCGGGGTCCCACGCCTGCCATTGCAAACCGAAAGTAGGGTTGATCTGTCTACTTCAATGACGACTGGCGTCGCTAGCACTGGTGGTATGTCGTTGTAGTAGCCAAGTGCGTATCCAGCAGTGTGCAAGTCACACAGGAATGTTGAGCGGTCCGAGCCAGGGACAGCAACGCTTTCGCGTCGGTCGGCAAGCAAGACCAATGGCGAAGCAGTCTGGCCATGAGCACATTCTTTAGCTGGCGTGTCTATGAAAGGCCTACACTGAAAGAGGCATGGCAGCATGACCACGGAGACGCCAACAGAGCCAAAAGAGAAGGCAACAGAACGAGAGCCGAAGGTGCGTGCGGCATGATAAAATCCGAGTGGCCGGAATCGAACCAGCGACCAATTGATTTCCGAGAATAATGAAACACAGTATAGAACACTTCAGTCAATCGCTCTACCAACTGAGCTACACTCGGTCCTAAATCCAACAACCACGCAAAAACAAATAAAAACCTTGCGCACGCTCCTACATGCACAATCAACACCTCTACAGCATATACCACGCAGCCACAACCTTGCCCACGCATTCTCACTAACTGCTTCACGCACCATCATACGCACAAGTGCTCGCAGACGACCAAAATGGACCCATTTCTTATTAGACCTCCCTCGTCGTCTTGTGGGCTCTGCCGACACTTTATACGACCGCAATGCCGTCACTCACACCATAGGCTTCCCGTAACGTCTCTTGGACGGCGGCGGTCGGGGTCCCACGTCTGCCATTGCAAACCGAAAGTAGGGTTGATCTGTCTACTTCAATGACGACTGGCGTCGCTAGCACTGGTGGTATGTCGTTGTAGTAACTGTGGTGAAGTGCTTTCTCAGAAATAAGAGAATGGACCTAACAAGGTGTCACTATCCCGAATCAGTGA